GGGGGGAGAGAGAGAGAGAGAGAGAGAGAGAGAGAGAGAGAGAGAGAGAGAGAGAGAGAGAGAGAGAGAGAGACGCTTCCCGTCTTGGCCGCAAAAGGTTCCGACGCTAAACCGCTTGTACGATTGTTAATCAACAAACATTCCCCGCCAAATTCTGAAAAAAAAAAGATATAAATAGAAAATTCACAACACTAACCAGTGCATTGAAGAGCGTAGATTTGCCAACGTTCGGTAAGCCGACTATACCCGTCTTGACAGACATGCTTACTCGACTGGCAAATGAACGGCCGCCATCACGACACGTGGCAGAATTCCGTAGCTCAGACAGCGATGATGGGGAGAGGAAATCCCCTCGACCAAGTTGGGAGAACCCTGCACCCCGCCGCTTCGCCACTGTTCCAAATCCCGGCGCCTCAACGGCTCGCGTATTCACGCACCGGCACCACGTGGCCCTCAGCCTCATCGTCTTCCTCCCTGCTGACGTTGCATCCAATGAGGAAGCGCAGTACGTCGAAGAACGACTAACGGCGGCTCGATCCTTCCTTCCCCCGACAGCCGCCTTCGTCACGCTTTGCCTCCTTGCTACGTGGCATCGTTTGCAAGTGCTGGCCACCAGCTGCACTATACGACAGGTCCTTGTGGCCGACATTTTCGGTAATGCATCCACGTGGCGGAACGCTCGCTCAATCTCAGGAGGCACACCTTTTTCAGATTGCCAACATGCGCAAGACGGCGGGAGAACGACGGCACAGGACAAGTGGGAACTGTCGGAATCCACCGCCTTGATGCTCCATAGACTGTCGGTAGCCTCCGCGTGTCCACGCGCGTGCGGCCGACGGCCTGTGCTCACCTGGCCGGTAGGTAAAAGGTACAGATCACACGAGGGCCCGACAACCCACTTTCAAAAAGGCCAAAAAATACAGAGAGGAAAAGGAAACGGTGTCCTTCGGGACATCTGTTAAAATTGGAACGATATTGAGAGAAGATTCACATGGCCCCTGCGCAAGGATGACACGCATAAGGGCCTCGCTACACCACTATCGAATCGCCTTTTTTTTCGATAGGTGTCAGAAAATTCGATAGTCCGGACTTCGATACTTCGATAGAAACCCCCCCTTCGCCACACAGCACTGTCGAATCGGTGGGGTATGGAATGTTTTCCGTTCCGGGGCCGCTTTCGACTGTCTGTCGTTTGTGTGCGGGTCCTGTCATCTAGCGTGTGTGTGGGCGGTTTTTCGATAGTCCGGAGTGTGGGCTATCGAATTGCAGGAGGACGTGCACATTTCGTTCGGTAGGGGTATCGAATTCCCATTTCTGACACCTATCGAAAATTTTCGAGGCTGCATTTTTCGATAGGCTGTGTGGCGATAAACTATCGAAAATTCGTGTTTCGATAGTGGTGTGGCGAGGCCCTAAATCGAGAAAAGGAAACGGTCCCTGTTCAGTACCCTAGCTCAGGCCGCACCCACATTAGGTCTATCTTTAATGTATCGGACTGCACCTGCACGCATCTAACCACAATTACGTCCATAAATAAGTAATAAGTAAAAAGGTCCTAGTGTCACTATCCCCTCAGTTAGAAAGGCGCACATGTGGCATTCAGGAGGTCATGGGCTCAATCCCCATTGGCCTCATATACCTAGTATGTTGGAAAGGCGCACATGTGGCATTCAGNGAAAGGCGCACATGTGGCATTCAGGAGGTCATGGGCTCAATCCCCATTGGCCTCATATACCTAGTATGTTGGAAAGGCGCACATGTGGCATTCAGGAGGTCATGGGCTCAATCCCCATTGGCCTCATTTACCTACCTTGGCATACTCGGTGCTCGCAACTAGAGATACTGCTAATGTCTGTAGGGGGAGGGGACCGGAGGGGAGGCACAGTGACTGGGGAGGCACAGTGACTGGACACTCGGATGAAGCGTGGTCCTGATGCTGTAGGCCCAGCTGCAGGTCCCATGCAGTGGCCGCATTCATGGCTGCAACAACACCATAAGATTATGGGCCTGGTTCCACTACCCTCAACTTGAAAAAATCTCAAGGGTGGAACCATTCCGTTACGCCCTTGAGATTCTCTAATCACCATTAAAAGTGATTAACGTTCCCGTCGCAATAAATTCCCGCTCTGAAACTCTAGGGTACATGTAGGGCGCCCAGGCAAACCGGCCCAATTTTCGAGTCACCTCCCAGCGGTGACTTTGAATTCCCTGAGTTCCCTTAAAAACGGCGCCAACAGGTTGCTTTTGGTCCCCCCGTCGTTTTTTTTTTGTTTTTTTTTTTAATTCCAATTCACATTGTCTTGACCCAACCATGGCGCAGCACATGTTCCCCCCGCTCCTTTTGCGAGCGGGAACTGTAGGGTGTAGTGGAACGACGCTGACTTCTAGTATTTTTCAATTATGTTTAGGCTCAAGGGCGCGTGTAGGGCTGCCCTTGAGTTTTTTTTCTTTAAGTCGAGGGTAGTGGAACGAGGCCTTATGGAAAAAGAAAGTGGATGTTCCGAAAGCGGAGGGGGGCGCGGCGCTATCGGGAGTGCTGAGCCCCTTTCGCTAGAGCGCGAACTGGTCGGCGTGGCAGGAAGCGGATGGCGAGGCGATGGCAGGAGCGACACGCGATGTGGTTGTGAGGGCGCCACGGCATGATGGTGATGGAGGCGGAGGTTGGAAGTGAGGTGGCGGTCTTGGCAATGAAGCGTGTGGTGGTGAGGGCAGGTGGAGACTCGGTAGAGGGAGAGATTTTATCTGTTGAATACTTGGCGAGTAGTGGAGCTATCGTCGACTGGGAGGAGCAATCAACCTAGCAATGGTCTTCCAACTCTCAGCGCGCTGCAACCAGTTCTTGACCCTGCCCTGCTTTGGGAGCAACAACAGCAGCAAACCGTCGAGCAGGAGCCCGTCCAAAATAGCAACAGCATTCCTGTGGAGAGACTAGTCGACGTGGTGGGCGAAGACGCGAGTACGCGAGGTGAGAGGGCAGTGATTGGTGGTAAGTTAGGGGGAAGAAGGGTGGGGGAGATGGGCAGGGGGGGTTCCCATGAATTACGTAGGTGGGGTTTGTTTTCCTCGTAGTCCTCGTTTTTTCGTAAATCCCTCCCTCATCCTCAATAGTATGGAAAGGGTATGGCTAGGGTGGTTTTGAACCCCCTGCGGCGACTCGTCAACAGGTTTGGCGAGGGGGTGCTGCACTGTTTTCGTTTCCTTTGAGGGACTGAAGATGGTCGTTTATGTCTTTGGTGTTAGCTGTGCTTGGAGCCTAGAAGCTAGCAGTGGGAGGAAGGGAGTCTTTCCTTCCCCAAAAACGCAGGGGTAGGATTTGAGGGGGATGAGGTAAGTGATTGGGTTGAGGAAAAAGGGATGGGAGGTCGTTTTTTTGGATTAGGTTTCAGCCCACGCGCGGCTACTAATAATGTTCGGATAACCAAGCTTTTTAATTATGAGGTTGATTTTTCATTTGATTTTCCATTGACGTTCTTAATTCATGATCCTTGATTGTTGATGTGGCTTAGCAGAATTTCAATTGAGAAGTCTCATCTCTTGCTGGTAATCGTGAATTTCCTGATTGTCTCCTTAGATTGTCTTAATCCATGTATGGATACATAACGAATTGGAGTTGGAGATTTCAATTTGTAATCCCTCATATATAGGTAATTTTCTTTCAGGTTCGGAAATAACGTTCGCAATACTTACATCTCAAGAGCCTAATACATTTGCTAATTTGAAAATCGTAAATAAGACTTTGCTTCCGATAGATTCACAATTATGAACGGTGTATCAAACATAGGTTCCTCAATTCATAATTTCGAAGGCATTCACCAATTAGAATACGATTGTTCTTTCCAACGATTGATTCTTACATTAATTCTTTTCTAATCCAAATTCTTTTCGGATTTTGTGTCGAGATATGTTGATTTTCAAAATTTGACTTATTTCGTTTTTTTAGATTTTCGTCAGAACTCTTAATAGGGGCCCATGGGGTGGTCGAGTGGAGCACCTTGTAGGGTCTTGGGGGATTTGTTTTGAAGTAGGGGGCAAAGGACATCAAATGATTCTTTGCAAGGACAGAGAGGGGATGGAATAAGGCTCTTTAATGGGTACCGACTAGGGGGAGTTTTTATCAGATGCGATTGGTGTTGGGTAGTTTTAGGCTGCCCAATGGGTACGGGCTGATGAGGGTGATCTTTGGCGCGATTGGCGTTGGGTAGTGTTGTTTCACCCCCTTGAGAACGGAGACTGAAATTCTTTTGGGGGCAAGGAATTTATGGGTGATGATGGTGCCCGCCCCCTGCTGAGAGGAGGCTCTCTGGACTCTTTACAAGGATGGAGTTCTGGAGGACGAATGAGGTTCTTCCTTTCGATGATGGAGGCAGGATTGCTCTGGTTATCTGTTTTTGAGGTTGCTTGTTTTCCTAAACTTGTCCTATTCTTTCGTCAGAGTTTCGTCAGAATCTTAACAAGGGCCCCATAGGATAGTCAAGTGAAGCATCTTGTAGGTTTTTGGGGGGTCTGTTTTGAAGTAGGGGGAAGGGGCATGAAATGATTCTTTGCAAGGATGGAGAGGGGGATGGAATAGGGTTGCTTGACGGGTACCGGCTAGGGGGAACTCTTATCAGATGCGATTGGCGTTGGGTAGTTTAGGTTGTCCGATGGGTACCGGCTGATGAGGGCGAGCTCTGGCGCGATTGGCATTGGGTAGTGCTAGTTCACCCTTTTGAGGACGGAGACTCGAGTTCTTATGGGGGTAAGGAACTTCAGGTGATGATGGTGCTCACCCCTGCTGAGAAGCGGTCCCCTGGAATTCTTTACGAGGACGGAGTTAGGAAGGATGGAGGGAGTTGGGGTGGATGCGATTGGCGCCAAATACTTTGGCGGGTACCGACCACTTGCTACTAACTCCACCTGGAACAACTTGAAATTTTTCCTTTCGATGATGGAGGCATGATCTTTTTGGTTAATTGTTCCAGGGGTTGCATGTTTTTTCATATTTTCCTAAATTTTGACCTATCATCCAAGGGTTTCCCTGCTCAGTTGATCCCCTGGTTTCCGGGGTAATCAATGCTGGTAGGGGGAGGTCTTCTTAATTTTTCTCAAAAAAGAGGTGAGCGGAATACGTAGATGGTTGGATATCAAGCGTCCTACTAGTGAGGAGGCTAGCTCGTAGGACGGAATTAGGGTACAACAGCAGCGGAGATGGTGACTTTGCTGCAATAAGTCTTGTCGGAGTGAGGTAAAGAGGATTGATGGGGGGTTCTAAGTAGTTTTTTGAATTTTGGTTTTTTTTCTGAAGATTGTCGTAGTAATTTCCTAAGTAGCTCATTTTTTTCTTAGCCATAGCCGGGTAATGGCCCCAGTATCTTAGACTTTCAAAATTCTGTGTAAATTTCCATATGGGACGTTGGGCCCGGTTCCCAGAACGTGCTGCTCACCACGAATAGATTAGAGCCTTGTTCCCATAAAAAAAAAAAAAAAGGAACAAGGCCCTATGACAAAAAGGGTCGTGCACCCTTCGAGAACGATACACAGAAGATCAGCATGGCCCATGATGCCAAGTCCACTAACAGCAGTCTTGAGTTTCCTCAATGCCCGAATTTTGACATGTTTGAGGAGAGGTGCAGTTAAGGAAACTGAACGCTATTTTTTGCACACCTCTACAAACTCTTCCAGATTCTGGCATTGAGGGCATACTCACACTAGTAGCAAAATTCACAAAAATCGCAAATTTTGCGATAGTACAGGGTCACACAGCTAGCGCAGGTACGCATATGACGCAAATGGGTACGCA